CACCTCTGTGTTTCTCGCCTTGTCCTCCTCAGTACTCGCTCTGCAATGAGCCCCTCATTGAACTTTCAAACTCAGGGGCCAGTGGGTCCCTCTTCTACGTGTCTGGTGACGACGAGTTCATCATCAAAACAGTTCAGCACAAAGAGGCTGAGTTCCTACAGAAGCTGCTGCCTGGCTACTACATGGTGAGTCATGGAGTGGTTGGGGTGGGAAGGATTAAAGCTCATCCAGTTCCACCCAACTGCCATGGCTAGGGATACCTTCCACTAGACTAGATTCCTCTAAGCCCTGTCCAACCTGGCCTTGGATGCTTCCAGGGATGGGGCAGCCGCAGCTTCTATGAGTCCCTTATGTGAGGATTTCTGTGCAAGCTGAGGAAGGTGTCCAGGTGTGACAGCTCCATTTCACCAGGAATTCTGGATAACCAGAATGGCTTAAATGGGGTTTCTGTGTCTTTCTTGTTTTAGAATCTGAACCAAAACCCCCGAACACTGCTGCCCAAGTTTTATGGGCTGTACTGCGTCCAGGCTGGTGGGAAGAACATCCGAATTGTGGTCATGAACAACCTCCTGCCACGCTCTGTCAAGATGCACCTGAAATACGACCTCAAAGGCTCTACCTACAAACGCAGAGCCTCCCTGAAGGAGAGGGAGAAGGTCTTTCCAACCTACAAGGACTTGGATTTTATGCAGGATATCCCTGATGGGCTCTTCTTGGACTCTGACATGTACAATGCTCTGTGCAAAACATTGCAGAGGGACTGTTTGGTGAGTGAAAGGGTGAAGGAGGGGTGGTGTGATTGGTTCTTTTGTCCAGAGGGGGCCACAAAGTTGATAAGAGGGCTGGAGCACCTACCCTATAAAGACAGGTGGAGAAAGTCCTACGAGGTGACACTGACGGAACTCAGGGTTATTTAGCCTGGAGGAGGGGAGGATCAGGGGTGACCTTATCACTCTCTACAACTACCTGCAAGAAGGCTGTAGCCAGATGGGGGTCAGTCTCTTCTCCCACGCAGCTAGTGATAGGACAAGGAGTAATGGGTATAAATGGAAAGAGGAGATTTAGATTAGATATTAGGAAAACGTTTTTTCCTGTGAGGGTGGTGAGACACTGGCAGAGGTTGCCTGGGGAGGTTGTGGCTGCCCCAACCCTGGCAGTGTTCAAAGCCATGTTGGATGAGGCCTTGAGCAACCTGGTCTGGTGGGAGGTGTCCCTGCCTAGGGCAGGGGTTGGAGCTGGATGATCTATAAGCTCCATTCCAACTCCTTAACATATTATGATTCTAGGATTTTTGAGCCTTTTCCATGAAAAGCAGGTGGCAGGTCCACCCTTGTGTATTGACTTAGAGAACCTGGGGTTTTTGAGGGTGGTGTGGACAAGAAGCAGGATGACAGCCCCAGTTTCTTCAATGCTTCCAACCTGAATGAAACCCAGTGCTGCCAAGGGTTTAATTGGAATCTCGGAGGGGGGTGGGTTGCTTGACTGAGTCTGGGCTCAAATTGGGTCAGAATTGGTCAAAAGTCAGTGTTCTCCCTTGGCTTGGGTGCCAGGCTGCAGTGGAATAACGCCAGTGGCTTTCCCCTGACTCTGTGTGGATGAGCTGACTCTGCTCAAGCCATGGATTAACAGCCATCCTGATCGGCTCGGGGCTCCCGGCAAAAATGCTGACAGCTCTTCTGAAAGTGTCTGCCTGACAGTTTCACTGGTCTTGCAGTGCTCACAGAGCCTTTGTTGACTTCCCAGGTTCTGCAGAGCTTTAAAATCATGGATTACAGTTTGCTCGTTGCCATCCATAACATGGACCTGGCGCAGAGGGAACATGTGATGGCAGACGGCACGTCCCAGATGGATACGCGGCGCCCTGCAGCCCAGAAAGCTCTGTACTCCACAGCCATGGAGTCCATCCAAGGGGAGGCCCGGAGAGGTGGCACCATCGAAACAGATGACCAGTAAGTCTGTGGTGCTCTTCCCAGTAAAATACCACAAGGAGAGAGTGGATTTCCCCTCCCTGGAAGTGCTCAAGGGCAGGGTGAGGGCTTGGAGCAACCTGGTCTAGTGGGGGGTGACCTTGCCCATGGCGGGGGGTGGAACCAGGTGGTCTTTGAAGGTTCTTTTCTAACCCAAACCATTCCATGATTCTGTGAACATCCTGTTTCACTTTGTGCCCTGTCCTCTCCTAGGATGGGAGGAATTCCGGCCCGGAATGCAAAGGGGGAGAGGCTACTGCTCTATGTCGGCATCATCGATGTCTTGCAGTCCTACAGGTAATTAATAACCCCTGTGGATCACCTGAGGGTGAAGGTGACTTTAGACCGTGGTCTGCCCTGGGTTTTCTCTAGTTTGACTCTCAAAAATAGTCGAGACACACATAAACAATTATTATTTTTTATTTTATTTACCACTTTCTATTTGGGGATCAATTTCTAGGTGTTGCTGTATTTATTTCATGTTCACAGAACAGATTCATACTTAAAACTGGTTTTGGTGCTGAGGTGGTTGTACACAGGCTCAGTGCAGGAAGTGGCAATGGAGAAACAAGTGGTGGCTTAAAATGGCCATAACGTTGCTCATGTTCATGAGCAGAACAGATGCTCATGTTCACAGAACAGATTCATACTTAAAACTGGTTTTGGTGCTGAGGTGGTTGTACACAGGCTCAGTGCAGGAAGTGGCAATGGAGAAACAAGTGGTGGCTTAAAATGGCCATAACCACTTCTAAAATAAATGAAAAATAGGTGTAAAACTTCTAATTTCTTCTGGTTTTATTAAAATGCAGTGTGCAGAGGTAAAACCTCTGTTCAGTGTCATTGCAAATTCACTGCCCTTTGGGAATTATGCCTGTGAAACTCTCTCATGGGGAGAACAAATTTTGGAATAGTCCTCGAAAAATGGGACAACAAAGAGAATCCGAAGCCCAAGTAGTCTGGAATGTTCTTGCCACAGTGGCTGGGAGCCAGGTGAATCCAGACAGTAGAAACCTGGAGTGAAAATTGTCCTTAATTCTTTGTCAGGTTTGTCAAGAAGCTGGAGCATTCCTGGAAAGCCCTTGTCCATGATGGGGTAAGAAGGAAAATAGCCCTTTTATAAGGAAAAAAATAACACTTTTAAACTTGTTTAACAATAATCCCAGTGTCTCTTCAAACTGTTCCTAGTGTCCTTGTTCCTTCTGGGCACAGGATCCTGGTTTTCCAAGGCATGTGTGTGCTTGCCCTCTTACATATATAAATATTTCTCTCAAAACTAGTGTTTTTATTAACTTATGCGCAATGTTTTTGAGATTTACATGTTAATATCTGTCCGTTTGGACCTTCAGGACACAGTCTCAGTGCACAGACCCAGTTTCTATGCTGAGAGGTTCCAGCGCTTCATGTGCAACACAGCGTTCAAGAAAATCCCATGTGAGTCCCTCTGGACTGCTGAATCCTTGGAATTCCTGTGGTTTCTGGCTTTTCCCTGCTGTGGGTTGGGAAGGTGGACAACAGCATGCAAGAATTTAGGAAGCCATGTTACCTCTTCCTTCTAGATTGCTCTTTCCTCACATCTGTGACCCTGAAGGAGCTGTTTCACCCTTGTTCTCTCAGCACAGCTCTTGTGCTCTGTCACTGTAAAGTCCTTTTATTCTTTGAATAAGTTAGAGAAGTGCTTTTTTTCTTACAGTAAAGCCATCCCCTTCCAAGAAGAGCCGGAGTGGCCCGGTGGTTCCACGGCGGAGCTGCCAGGGAGGAGTTCCTTCCCAGGTCCACATGTCCTGTGAAGCAAAAGCACAAGTAACCACAGAGGCAGATGTAGAGCAAGGTTGGTGCCTAGGCTAAGAAAATAGAAAAAACTCTCTATTTTCCATCTTTCTATCCAATTGGAGTTTTCTGCCTCCTCAGCTTGGCGAGACACCTCCAAGTTGGTTCATGGTCTTGCTGGGTAGGGGCTGGGTTTTGGAATTGTGGGAGCAAAAAAACAGATGAGGCCAAAAAATCATTTTTGACAGCCCCAAAAGAAAGCCAAGAGGAGCAGGGAGCCCTCTAAAGGCTTGGATGTTTTCAAGTGTTCTGTGGCAGCAAATGGATGCTAAACCTCATGTTTCAGTAAAAAACAGTTGGGGTGAGACCAAGTTGTGAGATCCCCTGGGATATTCCAGCCTCGTCCAGGTATCTAGCGTGGCCCTTGTGGGCTGAGGCTGTGTGGCAGTCCCTTGTGTCATGGCTCTTCCCAGAATCCTGTTCCCATGGGGTTTGTGCCAGGAGAGAAGCTGGGCCCAGAGTCCTGTGGAGGCTTAGATTGGAACCTGCAGGTTCTTCAGTGCTCAGGTTTCCTGGGTGGGATCCACCACAGATCCCAAGCCCTGGCAGTTTGGGAGCTCATGCCACATGAGCCCACGTACTGTGCTGGTGGTGGAACAGTCTGTGTTTGACTCAGGTTCCCACCTTGGTCGCCCAGATCTCCTGCCCAGGACATTGCCCGTGGATGAAGCCAACAGCGACTCCATCGCCACAACCCTGTCCACATCCTCCCTGGGCAGTGGAGGCCTCAACTCTCCTGCAAACAGGTGAGTCTTGAGGTGGTGGGGTGCAGGGTAGGTTCCTGGCTCCTTCCCAAGGCCTTGGTGTGCTACTCTGTGGATGTTCTTGGAGGTGGCATGGGGGCAGAATGACCTGTTTGAGAGATTTGTGCATTGTGGAGCAAGTTCAGTGCTGGGGGTTCAAGCATGTGCAAGGGGGAGCATTGTGTCCTATCTCTGCGTGTCCCTTACGAGTAACACTATCTTGCATCTTCTGCTTGGGCTGCGTGGGGGTCCTCAGGGGCTTCTAGTTCCTTGTGTGTGGTGGTTTTAATTTCATTTGCTCTGGAGTTGTGGTCCTTGTTCTGATTGGTGAAAAGGTTGGTACTAAAATGTGTGTGCATCAATGTGGTGACAGGTGATGCTGAAGATGACCTTCCTGTTGCTCTTTTCAGAGGGTTGAGCTCTCCTGCAGCTTAGTGATGGCTTAGCATTGAGCTCCCACAACTCCTTGAGAAAGGAGGCTGCAGGTGTGTGCAGTGTGTGGTCCCAAGTGTCTTGGAAATGCATGGAGAGCCCTGAGGGAGCTGGTGGCTGCTGTGGAATGTCTCATTTCTTGCTGGAGTGGTCAGACTGGCAGGCATGAGGAGGAGCTGTGGTCACAGGACCATCCCTTTCACCGAAGTTGTTCTAAGGTGTTAACTTCTCACCTGGAAGTGATGGGAAATCACATTCCCCACTCCTGACCCACTGATGGAAGCTCTTGCTCATCTCCTGAGCTGCAGGAGATTTAATTACATCTCTTGGTGGTCCTTCTGTAAAATATGGAAATTTCTTGGTAGGGATCCTAAACCAGAGCTGCTCCTTTCCAGTACCTCAGCATGCCTCAGGTATTCCTTTTCATCACTCACTTGTGGGTCTCTCTGCTTCACTTCACGTAGGTCAGTGGGAGTGCAAGTGCATAAAGCTGACAGCTCAGCACCCAGAACAACTCCTGGCATCTTCCTGCCTAGGTGAGGGGAGGAACCCGCCCTTACCTGAAACCTGTGCCTGTCTGTAGGGTGTGTTCAGTGAGGCTTCACCTGGATTTGGCCCCACGCTTGTGCTGGCCAGTGGTGACAAAGGTTCTGTGCAGACAGTAGTAGAGCTGTGCCAGGGCTCAGCAGGCCTGAACCCACCTGTCTGCTGAGGCTTAGAGGTAAAACACACCAGGATAGTGTCCTGTGGTGCTGAGCACCTTCCAGGTGACAGCACAGGTGCTGGTAGGTAAGGCCAAGCCTGCTGTACCTATAGGTTGAGTCCCAGGGGGTTCCCTGGGGCAGAACCAGAGCCATGCTTGCCCCACAAACCTAGTGGGGCAGGGTACACCTGTGGAGGGGATCACTCCTGTGGGGCAGATCACCCCTGTGGGCACTCACTGTTTTCCAGTGCAGGGCTGTGGGATCCGAGCTCTCTACTGCAGACCTGTTGTTGGAGGCTTAAATCCACCTTTGTTACCTTGGTGGATCCTTAAAGCTCATCAAACCCCTAAAAGCATGAAAGTGCTTTGGGGATTGTTGATTTATAACAGCATAATTTGGTGGCTTGATTAAAAAAGGTCTTATTTCCTCTCAGCCAGTCTGGCTGGTGTTTGCTGCCTTTTGGTGAGGTGTCATCTAAACTCTGTAGAAATGTGCAAAGGGGAGTGATCTCACCCAAAATCTGATGATCTGGTGATCTCCACCCAGAGTTTCTGTCCTTCTGGGGTGGGCACAGTGGGAGGGCAGGACCTGGCCCATCACATGCCTCGTTCACCTGTGCACATCTTTGTCCAGGAGCTGTGGTGTGAGTGGTACCGTGTGGGTGCCGTGGTGAGGTTGGGGCTCCCCTGGACCTCAGCCCAGCTCTGACAGAAGTGTCCTGGCCTTGGGGACACTTGAACATGCCCATGTGCCACTGGGGGTGGGAGCTGCTGACATTATCCTGTGGGAAGGGGTTCTGAGGGGGATCCAGCCATTGGAGAGCAATGGCAACTCTGCTGCTTCTCTTTAACACTCATTTAGTTGTGGATTTGGTCATGTTGAGCTCGATCTCAAGGGCCTTTTCAGACCTGAATGATTTTATGAGTCATTGGGCAGCGCTGCTTTGTGCTAATTAAGACAAACGCAAGCGTTATGTGTGTTGTAACTAACACACATAAACTCTTTGGTCGTGCATCCCATCAGGTGCTCATGTGGTGTATCCTGCTGTCAGGCTGTAGCTCGCCTTCTGAGCAAAAAAGGTGCATAAAAGGTTTCTCAGGGGCTTTTCCAAACACAGGTGCCTCTGGAAAGGCTGAGCTTGGTGGTTCATGGTTCCTTTGTCCCTGAACTGTTCACTCAGGGCTATTTTGTGGTGGATGAGCTATTGAATACTTTTGGAAGGAGGTGCTGGTGCTTGGCTGGACAGAATCTCGTGCTTTTAGTGCCTGAAGTCACAGCAGATTAGGAGGGAGGAGTTTTTAGGTGGTGTTCCGGGTGCCTCCACATGAAACCTGCCTAAGGAATGCCATGGTGGGATGTTCCTTTGGCTGGGAACAGCAGGGCTCTGGAGGTGTGATTTATTGACCTCTAAAAACTGCTTTACAGGTCTCCCCCTTCTGTTTCCCCAGTGGCTCCCCGGGCCCTTCCCTCCCTGAGCACTCCATGGAGCTGAGAGAGCAGCTTGAAGACCTGCAGGAGACAGAGATAAGCTTTGTAAGTATTGCCCTGGTCTGGAGGAAAAAGAGGAGTTTGGGAGGTGGATAGGGAATTTTGGGGGTTGTGTGGTCCACTAGGAACATAGAACTTGGGATGTGGGAGTGGAGCAGAGCAGGAGCAGTTTTTCACCCTGTGCAGAAGTTCAGCCTGCCTTGTGCTTGGGCACCTTTTGGGCTCTTAGTGATAATCTGCTGCCCAGAACACCTGGACTTGGATAAAAAGCAGGGGAATTCCTCTTCCCTGAGGGCCTGGAGTGGGTCTGATGGCAGAGGTAAACCAGGATGTGACAGTCACTGGGCTCATCTTGCTGTCCCCAGTCCCTCCAGTTTTAATGTCAGATGGGACTGGGTGTAAACCTGAACTCAGCACTTCCCTCCACTCTCCTGCCAGGGTGAATAATTTCAGGGAATGATCAGGCTGTTCTTCCTTAGAGGAAGACAAACCCCTCCTCATTATCTCCTCTTTTCTCCCCAGTGAAGCAACACCGACATGGCCATGATGGCAGCGGGTTGTTCTGTGCTCTGTGGTGTCTGATGAACCTCCAGCCCCTGTTGCTGAGTTGTTTTTATTTTAAATTTTGAAGTAATCTGGACAAAAACTTGGAAGCTGGAATGTCGGGATACACCTGCATTAGCGCTAAGCCTGAGCTGAGCCTTGGGTACCTGGAAGTCTCCTCACGACAGAGCCCACTGCCACGTCCCCGCTGCCCTCCTTCCTTGGAAGCCTGTGGGGAGGAGGAGGAGGAACTGCTCCTCGTGGGATGAAGCCCTTTGGAAAAGGGAACGGACTTTCAGGGAGTTATGATGCCGACACCACAGACCCTGCAAAAACCAGCAGGTCCTCGGAGCTCCCAGAGGAAAACAGGCACCGGAGCCTCGTCGGGGCAGTTCACACCGGAACAACGTGGCTTATTTTGGATTTTTCCCAAGTTTTTAATTAATTGTTCTGAATTCAGTCATATCACTTTTTAGTCCTGTTACCCAGGAATTCCTCCTTCTTTTTTATATAATAAATAGGGTATTTTCAGTGTTTCGCCAGGAAATACCCCATGGAAGAGAGGCAGAGAGGGGGAGCAGAAAGCAAGGTGACCTTGGACGAGCTCCTGTCCCTCCTTCCTTTCCCACCTCCCACCCAGCAACGACAAGAGCAGGTGCTGCACTGCATCCCTCGCAGGACTTTGTGGGAAGCTTTTAACACATCAGGGAGGATTAGGGATTGTTTCTTCCCGCCCCAGTTTCTAAGTTGAGCCCTCTCATCCCTCCCCTGCCAAGCTGGAAGTTCAGGTGAAGGGACAGCTGGAAGGGACACACTTTTTTTAAGTATTTCTTGAAAAACGACCAAACCCATGTGCTCAATCCCTTCTCTCCATCCCATGTCCTCCCTGTTTTTATAGCTCAGCTCCTTTGGATATCTCACCTGGACAGTAGCTGCAGTCAACACAGATGCTCCTGGCGGCTTGAAGCCAAGGTTCCTACTGAACTGAGACAGAATTCCACCTCCACATAAATTCGGGGTGTTTTGAGACTGGTTTTAAATGGTAATATTCGGTTAATCGTAAGATGGAAGAAAGGAATTTTCTGCTACCACTTCCCTGTGGTGACGCCTGGATCTCTCCAGAGCTTTTGGAGCAGATGTTGGACTGATGTTTATTTTCACTAAACGCTTTTTTTTAAAGAAATTAAGTGACTCTTT